GTAAAAAATGAATCCGCCTCAACAATATAGAACTTATCTGCAATGAATGTTCCCAGCTACATCAAGGTAACTAAACTATTCCATGTCTAGAATCTAGTCTAACTGGTCACCTTAGCGCAAAAATTGTCTAGCTCGAACCTAAAATACCCTACGAATGTAAACAAAAAAAAATCTGGACTAGGTATCACAAGCAATGTGATGCTGATGAGGTACTCGTTATATACTACAATTTTAGCTTCCTTAAAAACTAAAAAAAATCATGGCAACCCTACTCAGAATGCTTCGCTCGGGGCCCTTATTCTTTTGATATTCTTTTACTGATTATGGTCGGATCGATCTCTTCAGACAACCTCATTCAGAGGAAAACTAGTTGGGGATGGAAACATGTACACTCTCTAAACAGTGTGGCAATTGGAAGATGCCCATGGAAAAGAACTGCTAGCTACTAAAGAGATCATCTCCACATTTCCATTCAAACACCCGTTTTGCTCTTTAAAACGATCGACGCGCAATACTGAAAACAATTAATTCAAGAAACAGTAACCGCACGTATACCTGCAAGGAATAAATCTAAAAGTACGTAAATAGAAATGGAAATCAACTAACCTGTCGAAAGAGCAATTTAAGAGAGTGCTCCGGCCCTCTGATAGGGATGCTCTCTAATCTGTCCAAGACGCCGTTGCTTCGCAACAGCTGACGCACCTGCACATATAGAATCATTATGATCTTAAGGTTCTTCTACAGAAGGGCGGAGAGTGTTGAGAGACTTCCGCTTAGGTTGACGTTCAATTGTTGGGTCACGGTAACTAGATAATCGCAACCAACTCCACAAGGAATTGATATGCGATTCTGCTTGGATCGATTTGAACTGAATATTATTATAACTGTGCTGTCGATGACCCAAACACTGAACATCAAACCAACGCCTACAAGTACTGACTACTTTACAGCTACACTACTGAACTTAAAAACAATTAAAGCATCTCGACATACCTAATTTAAAACTACGATTCAGCCAATATCTGATAAAAATATATACAGTAATTTAATGGGCGCGACAAGCTCGTACTTATGCTGTTGCGGCAAAAATACGATTTGGCCAGTCACTCGAATAAATAGTACTTTAAAAATAAATGCAATGTAAAAATACAAACGAGAAAGTCCTAACATTTCGTCCAAATTACTAATCGCCTAATCAAAATCAAACAACTTAACAACTAACTTAACTCTAGGTTTCTTAATCGCGCACCTCTCTGGTTCCGACTTTTCACTTTAAGTACGTTTCGGTGTTTGGTTGTGAATCAATGCGCGACTAAATATCCTTTGATAATACAGCACCATCAGATTTCAGCACAATGCAATTATAACATACAAACAGTGCATTTTATAAAAAATTATACATACAAAAAGGCAATCTGTCTAAAAGGAGATAAATGACCAGAATAACATACGTGTCCAAATATACACTAACAGTGCAAGTGTCTTGACAAAACCGCTGTGAAGTGGTTTATTTAGAATCTAGAATCACTATGCAGGGGCGGCAACAAGGCGAAAAATTCAGCTCTAAACGCATATCAAAGATCCAAATATAGTCACAAACATGAAATACAAAAAAATCGTATAAACTATTAAATACAATGATATTTCAAAGGCCTGGTTAGGTGGGCACATAAAATGCTCCTTATTTCAATTTGATTGCTTTGCCCACGCGACACGCCCTGTATAATGAGCTTCTAATAATGTAAATATACATAAGTACAGTCGAATCGCTGATGAATAAAACGGCGACATAAAAGTGTATGCAAATAACAATGTTTCAATAGTAGCCGGGATTAAAGCTGGCCCATTTTAGCTGGTTGGTTGGTCGCAACGATGTAAAACCGTTTAGTTCTTCGATCAGCGATCGAAAATAAAATAAAATATATAACTTGAGTGGCATGTGCTATAACAAATGAGTAAAAAATAAAAATTCAAATAAAAATAATAATCTTGAAAACATTGAGAAAGTATTACAGACAGTGCGTAACGGTTTGTAACCTGATCGGTTAGAAATTATCACAGAAAATATATAATAAAAAATTGTAAAAATTGTGACTAAATGTTCAATTAGAGGCCCCCGTTGGCGGGGGCCGGAAGATTCTAAAACCCTTAAAACTACGAACAAAAAAGTATTACAGCGCTCTACATTACGAGGGCTTACAGGCCCCGTCTACACTACTAATGGTAAAACGAACCCCAATTTTTAACGTAATGTGGGAGTGTATAAAGTTGAAATGGCGGGGCCCCCAATTCCTACTACTCGACTTTTGGCTACCGACGCGGCATGTAGTAATAGTAATATGGGGCTCCCGGGCGCTGATAGGACGTAAAAATTGGGGGTACGAGTCAACGTGCAAATAACCCACCCGAATGATCAGCAGTGGCGTATTCTGTCAGCAGGGGGCTGGCTGCTAGAGCGGTGTAGTTCGTGTAGTCTGGATAGGGCGCATAAATCAGCCCGTGCGGGTCTCCAGTCGACAAGAGGGACCTGTAGCATGAACTTTGTTAAAAATTATTTCAGTCTCTTTTTACCCCACGAATCTATACAATATCAAAATCCACAAAAAATGCATTAGTTCAATTTTATGTTAGGGAAATCAATGGTAAAACGAATGTTGCAAATCGAGTAGCTTAGCATACTGTTCCTAGAGCAGTTGTTTCAGTTACCAGAAGCTGAGCAAAAGATTGGAAAGAAACGATACGAAAAAACCCTGAAGCCTAAAGTTTCAAATTGAAACTAGGGATCGTAAAGAAAAACAAGTTTAGGCCGTGGTAAAAAAGAATGTCTTCCTGAGATGTCGCAAGCACTAGAGAGTTGGCTCGCTGCAATTTTCACTTCGATCACACCATATTGAAAAAATCATTTACTGGCATATAACTGTCGATTTGTGATGTAGTAGGCC